AGGTTGGTAGCACATTTGTGAGATAAAGGTGACCAAATAGATTATATAATCAATATATTTATAATCGGATCTATAATTAATATTTTAAATTAAAAATAGACTAAAATTACGATTAACACTAATTTTATTATTTTGTCATATATTTGGTAAAATGGCATGGGAGACCAAACCAAATGCTATTCTCTATAAATAGGAAAATGATGTAATATTATTATTTTATTATTTGGTGTAAAATTTGACATAATTGGTGGGAGACGAAATAAACTATTTTGTCACCAAAAGTAGTGAAATTGCAGAATGGTGTGCTAAGGGTGGGAGACAAACCTATTTGGTGAAAAAATAGCGACCACGTTGGAAGATGCTCTTAGTAACTTTGGACACAGGTTGAATCTAGTTTTTAAGACAAGAGATCATTAACTTATACTCATCCAACTTCAACATTTTTCGTATAATAAGATTCAAGAGTCCAACTTAAACATAAATATAACGAAAAATAAAAATGACAAATCTGAAATGTTCCTAATTATCGAAATATCTCAACCAAAACCGCTAATAATTTATATGAGACACGAGCACTACATGAGGTAGCATCAGAGACAAAACCATAATTCTACTTAGCAAGCAATTGTATGAATAATCATCGACTAATTAAGATTTTCACTCCTCTTCATCCTCGTCTCCATCACCACCAGAAGCCTTCTTTGAAGCTGACTTCTGGTTCCTTCTCTTCACTCTACCGGGGCGGCCCCCACCAAACGGACTTGTTAGGGAGAAGTCAATGTGCTTCTGAGAATCCACCCTTACCATGAACGAGGGCACGTTTACAACTTGCCTTCCAACCCTGCAAATATAAATACAACAATATAATGGAAATATAGATAGACTCCTGTATCGGAACGCAAAGATTGACGAAAGAAAACAAAATTAATCACAAGAAACAATGGCGTTACTAGAGGGTGAATTCCAACACCTTTGAGAAAGGCACTCCACATAAAAGATAAAATTTCAAACCACATTGGATCTACGCATAGCCGAATCTAGACTAGTACCGTTTTTAATACAGGTGAAGCTAATAATTACAAGAAAAAACAGCATTACTAGAGGGTCTCCATAGATTTTTCTATTTCTAATGGCACAATCGAAGAGAGAAAATTCCATACACAGAGGTGCCATCCAGACAAAATTTCGATTCATTGAAATACGCATTCTAATTAGCTAAAACGTCTATAGGGGAATCTACATAGATGTATACCTGATATGTCTTTGCCTGATAAGAACTCGAGCATGGTGGATGGACTTAGCCATACCAGCCTTGAAAACAAGAGTTTGCAGGCGGCGCTCGAGAAAGTTCTCAACAGTGAGTGCCAAGACGTAATCGAGCTTGTTCTGGCTCTCGTCTAGCAGTGCGTACTTGTTCATCCTCCTCATAAGGGCTTCGCCCTCGAAAATACGACGAGGGTCTTTCTCGTCGAGAGTCAAAAGATTCCTGGCATTATTCCTTATACGGCTCAGTGCATACTGTACCCTCCAAAGCTCTCTCTTGCACCTTAGGCCGTACTCTCCGACCAGTTTCAACTCGGCGTCCAATCGTTCCTTCTCGTAGGGGCGACGCGGCTTCTTAAAAGTCTTGCCATCTGGCACACACAGATATCAATTCAATTGTTAGTTCGTGCATGATTTGCATACATTTCGTTTACTTACGGTAACAATTACTTAATTGTAGGCATCAAACAAAATTTGATTTATCAGCTACAAAATGAACAAACATCCCACTGAGAAAATCTCCGATCTCGTTAACGAGAAAAGTTTAATACTTTCAGGAATTAAATCGAAAATCATATAACGCAGGCACAGAATTTTTAAATTTAAGAATAATTAATATAAAAATCAGTGATATCTCAAATGAAACCGGAACTTCACACCTTAAAATCGATCGGATATTCAGCAGAAGAGGAAGAAAAAACATATAAAACGTGGAAATTTAACAATTACGACGTACAGTAATCACAATTCACAATTATATATATATATATTACAGAATATATGCAGATGCATTAATCGAAGAAAAGCTAGGGCACTTACAGTTGCGGTAAAAGCAGACGTGGACCATGATTTTCCGCCGGTGACGACCTCAGTCCGACCAGCTGATCGGAGTGCAAATGAAAAACTAGGGTTTCTGATGGGCGAGTTCAACAGCGACTTGCATTCTTATACTCCAAATCTCTAATGGGCGGGCCTCTTATAAAATAAACCATATAAATTGTGTATTTGGGCTTCCTTCCACAAAGATTTTGGCCCGATAATATATTTACCATTTTACCCCTTAAATTATTTATTTATTTATTAGGGTAAATTACAAACACCCCCCTGAGGTATGATCAAATTACAAAAACCCCCCTCTTGTTTGGATAATTACATCTACCCCCTCAACTATGATTTTTTCTTAGACCTCCACCTTTATGGTGCCAAATTCAACATAGTCATCTAGATTCCGTGAAATGTGCTCTAGTTTGTACTCGTTTTGCGTAAAAAATACAGTTTCCGATACACCACAAACTGATATATACAAGCTAAAAATCACATATTATGATCATCTTGCTTCATAATGTAGAGTTTGAATGGGATAAAACGGGTACAAAAGTAATAATATTACATATAATCTCGAAAATTCCACTAAATTTGGGGAGTTGAGGGGGGTGGTTGTAATTATCCAAACAAAAGGGGTGTTTTTGTAATTTGACCATACCTCAGGGGGGTGTTTGTAATTTACTCTATTTATTATTATTTGTTTTAATTATTCAGCTTCATCAAATAAATGTGTTAAATTTATTAACATTTGTAAAATCTCGACAGAAAAATGACACTAATTTACAGGCTAACCTCCGTCCTCAAAAACCCCCTCCTAAACCCCACCGCGGCGGCGGCCGCCGTCCGCCCTTTTTCGAGCGGTCGAACTAACAAAAGCAATAAATCCGGAGAGGACGAGTGGAATGACGCGTGGGAAACCGCCTGGCTGCCCGACGACCTCTCCGGAAAATCGGCACGCGCCTCCTGGGAATCCGACGTCAGCTTCGCCCTCCCCGCCGCCGACCAAAATCCCCAACTCTCATCCCTGCCGGAGGAGATCGACGCCGAGACGAAAGCGTTCGTGGAGGATATGAACGATAATTGGGATCAAAGGAAGGGCAAATCGGTGAAAAAAGACGACGACAAAAATGAGTCTCCGCCGGGGCCAGCATCTTCATCTTCATCAACTTCTCTGTATAGCTTGGAGAATATTAAGAGGGATTACAGACTGACGAAGCAGAAAATACACGCGGGGCTGTGGGTGAAGGAGATCGAGAAATTGGAGGAAGCTAAATTGGGGAATTCCATTTCTGGCGGCGACGATATTGAGAAACTGCTCGACAGCGCCTCTGAGTACGTGTTGCTTTCTCTCGTGCTTCGATTTCTTCGATTCCGAATCATTTTCGATTATCAATAACATTGAAAATGAATAATGTGTGTTGGTGGTGTTTTGGTAATTTGTGTGTTTAGTAAACAGCCAAACATTGTTCATGGTGTTAGGAAGTCGATTAATCATGCCAAGTCTTTACAAAGTTTCGATCGGTTTAACGATATTCATGTTATTCTTACGATGCTCGACCGAGGCCTTTCGTGAAGCATAGCATATATTGAATTATGTCACTGAAATGTTACTTAGAAATGAAAAAAAATCGGAACTTTTCGGTAGGAATCATGTTTTCTATCTTTTGATAAATGCAGGATATTTGATTCTGCAAACAATGATTTCGGAGATCCGAAAATCCCGGGGTCGGAGTTCAAAAACAAACCCGATGGCTGGGAAACAACGTCAAAATCTCCAGATGGTGGTAGTATATGGGATATGTCGCAAAGAGAAGAAGACATACTCGTTCAAGAGTTTGAGCGTCGAATTGCCTTCAATAAATTCCAGGTTCGTATTATTCAAAACCACAGTTTTCATCTAGGGTTCGATTTCTATTTATTCTAATTATGCTATCCCTTTTTTACGGATTTTACAGATTGCGAGCTTTATAAAAACACACATATTTAGCCGTAGGAGGCCTATTGATGGATGGAGGTACATGATTGAGGAAATCGGACCGAATGCAAAGAAAGGGAAGGGAAGTGTTTCGAGGCTTCCCACTGTATCAGACGAGTCAACTCAGCCATTCAGAGAGGAGAAGATTCCGACACCTCCCAGCACTTACTCTTCCTCTAGATCTTCGTCTAGAGGCCGATGAAATCTGTGAAAGTTGCATTGTTTTACAGTGTTTATTTATTACTCGAGCGAATGTGACAAAAAAAAAAAAAAAAAAAAGATAATGCAAAAAAGAAAGCAATTTCTCAATGTGATTTTGTATCTCCTGTTATATCTTTTATGCAAGAAACACTATTTCAGTCTCCCTTTGGACCATCTTTCTTGTGTACCTCTGAAAGAAATAACATCGATAAAGAACTCGCGAGTAATCGAAAATTTCTCGAACTTTACAGCTAAACCAACAAATTCTGACTATAGTAAGAAAAAACTGTAGAAAAAAAAAACAAAAAAATTGGAACTGCTCAAAGATGACATGACACCAGCCAAAACCAAAGATGTGAAATTTATAATAACAACAAAACAGAAGCCATCTTGAGTTTCTACTGTGCAGTTCTGACGTTGTGCCGCTCACATACCCTCGTTCCGTTTTCAGCCCACCATTTCTCCGCCTGATCCTCTGTGAACCTTTTCCGGCTGTACAAAAATAATATTTAACAAACATAATAATAATAATAAATTAATTAATTAAAAAAAAAAGTACCTGAAACGAACTCGTCTAAGTTCATTGACACCATCTGGTAAGGAAACGAGAGTTATGTACACGCCGGGCTCGTCTTGTAAAATCTTTTCCGATTTCTGTGCTTGAGCCTTAGTCCCATTACACAGTGGTATAGTCGTTGAATTGTCACTACTCGACTCACTCTTGGGCGATGTCACGCTCGTGACACTGCTCCCACTGGACGGCCGATTATTAGCATCATTTGCCGTTTGCTCGTTGTTATTAGCATCCTCTGAAAATCCTTCAGCCATCTCTTTCAACTGCCAACACACATCAAACTCGCATATCGGTATTCATCACAACAAAAAATCGAAGATGCAAAAAAAATAAAAATAATAATTCAAAAAAAAAAACCTGAGCAGTGAGTGACTTTATCACTTCTTTCGCCGCTTTGCTCTTCTCCGCTTCGTCCACCGCCCGTGCCTTCATCTCCTTCAGCTTCTCCGTTTTATTTTCCAGCTCAGCTTCTAGAAGTTGGTTCTTGCTCGTAAGTTTTTCCACTTGTGCCCTTAAACTTTTCACCTCAAGACTTAAACTATTATCACCGCAAATCTTGATATCGTCTGCATTTGCTTCGGACGTGCGAAAAGACAGAGATGGCGAAGGTGTGGTTGACCTCCGAGGGGTTGTCCTCCCAATTATCGGAGAAGGCAATCTAGAAACTTCCGGAAGATAAAACGAAATAGAACCCTGCGAAGATCCAAAAGGGCTTGTGGGCGATTTCGAAGAAGTGCTAGGCCTCTGCACATTACTCGAACTCCCGTTCTGTAGAGCAAACACACGGTTGTTGTTATTATCACTTGAATGCCTATCCGATTTAAACGACTCAGCCGAAGACAGCCTCGAAACATTATTCCCCGGCAAACGAGCATCCTTCTCACTCTTCACACTAGCAAGTTTAGAAGAATCGATCGCCTTCTGTAATTTCGCGAAGCAGTCGTCACAAACGCGGTAAGGCTTGTTCAAGCTAGGAGCCAAAGAAGCTTTTATTGACTTTCTTGCACTGCAAGCTTTGCAGAAAACGAGGCCGCAGTTGTAGCAGTTGTGGCGTTTGCGTATGAAGCCGAAAGGGTTACGGCACCCCGAGCAAACGGAGTTATCCGCACTCGATATCCACTTATGCAGGCATATAACTGCTGTGAAATTCGAACCGCAAGCTACACTCTTCACTTGCTTGTCTTTGAGAAAATTGACAAGCGTCGGCGAAGTTCTTTCTTCGTAGTCACCATGGCCTAGCTGCCCGTTCGAGCCCTTCCCCCACGTGTAAACCTCCGATTTCGCGGTCAAAACCGCAATATGGTGGGATCCACAAGAAATATCCTCCACAAAACTGTCGGTGATGCTCCCTTTTACGCACACCGGCATCTTCCCATTTTGCTGCCCGCTAACAACACTCCCCACGGTGTACACTCTCCCTAATGCAGTCAACGCAACGGTGAAGTTATTCCCACACGCTACACGGGAAAAATCTTTATCGGCCAACGACGCGACACATTCAGGTACTAATCGGGATACATTATCGCCGTGACCTAATCTTCCTTTATCCCCATCGCCCCATGTGAAGAGCTTTCCGGAATCATTAGAAGAAGAAGTTCCGGAAGCTTCCACCACAACCGCTGCAGTATGCCACACGCCACAAGCCACTCGAATCGCCTGCATTCCCTTCAAAGCTTCGACTTCTCGTGGAATAATCACGCAGCCACGTTCGCCGTGACCCAACGCACCGAAAGTCCCGTCTCCGAACGTGAACAAACGACCTGCTGACGTCAGCAAGGCCGTATGCCACGGCCCACAAGAGACGAACGAGACTTTCAAACCCTCGATGGGCCCACCCACCTTCTTCGGGACCCAATGGCTAGCCTCACTTCCATGCCCAAGCAAACCACAGTTGAGAGATCCATCACCCCATGTGTAGAGATCACCGGAAAGTGTCACTGCACAGGTATGGTACTCTCCACACGCCACCGTCTCGATGCTCTTGCCGCCAAGATTTTCGATGGGTTTTGGATGGGGTACGTCGGTTTCCACTCCGTGGCCAAGCCGCCCTCTTTCCTCCTCCCCCCAGCTGAATATTTCACCCTGCTTCGTCACTAAAACTGCGTGCTTTTTACCACAAGCAATGTTGTGTACATCAAGAACCACCCCCGCTTCTAATGCCTTGGGCAATAGGGCGTCGTTTTTTTCCGATGATCTGTCACCGATACCTTCTCCCCAGATGAATACGTCGCCCAAGTTATCGAAATCCTCGTTGCACGAGCCTTGACTGGACGAGCTCACAGCACTAGAGAGGCTCACCCTTACTGTTTCTGCACCGGAGACTCGAGCGTTTAAGTTTTCTGCGGCGCCAGCTGGCAGCAAGGTGGAGGGGTATGATAGGGGGTCGGGCGGTTGAGGATTCTTGGTTGTTGCTGTAAATGATAATACGTCGGCGAATGCTTTTCCCAATCTGCTTTGGGAAGTGTTTTCGGATCGTTGTTGTGTTTCTGCCTGATCCTGTGGAAATGGATTTGGATGAGTAAAAAGAATTAGGAAAGTAATCAATGAGATAGATCTAAGATAGTGGAACTGACGAATGAAATTGCGGGGGAAACTCTGCAGCCACGTGGAGTATCGGACGAGGCAGTTTCGTTTTTGGCCTCATTTCTTTGTTTTTTGTAGCTACCACGTGCAATGAGAGCTTTTAAACCGACAAACCAAGCCTCGGCTTCGTCCTTATCTTTACATATCTGCGGGGAAATATTTGGCAACTAAGAAATGAAACCGGATTTCGGTAAACATTGTGACATGTAATGAGAGAGAGCAACAAGAAAACTCACCAAATCCAAGGACCTGTCGCTGTATATAAGAGAAAATGATTGATATTCCTTTTCGGGCCGAGGGTACCGCTGAAATATTGACTGACAGGAGAAAAAAGAGGTACAGCGTCGGTTAGATGCTTTCGAATGTAACCGTAATCACCAAATAGGTAAAGGCTATTGAGCTCTAAAAAACATTTACATCTAACGAAGATTTTACTGTGAAATAAGCATCAAATAAACATGATTTTTAGGCATAAACATCTCCTCAGTTGGAGAAAGTCATTCGATCATACTTACAGTCCTCTGTCCGGGAATAATTCTCGAAACCTGACGTAACTCGAGCTGTTTCTCGTCTTTGCCATAGTACCATATCAAGGTAGACTCATCCTGAAATTTCAGCCACCAAAATTAGTACCGTTTAAATCAAGAATAGAAGAAACTCGATCTCTGTGGGATTTTTGTTTCGACACAAAACTTACATTAGAAAGTCGAAACGGGCAAAACTTCGGCTTCCCCCTCCGCCCATACTTTAGCAAGTGTGCCCCCTTCTTAAGGGCTGTGATGGCCTAAACACAAACACTTGGTGAGCATATGAAAAATCTCACTCAAAAGATTAAAAAATAAAATTTACATAAACACAAACACTTGGTGAGCATATGAAGAACACAGAAGAAATAAAAAGTACCTGGTCAATGTCTCTTTCCACGAGACTAGGCCTCTGCAAATCAGCCATTCACGTTGCAATGTAACTATTAGGTGCAACAAACCACCAATTAAACCAAAACCCATTTGATTTTCCCAAAATTGATGTTATCTCCCTCCTACTCTGCTCCATATACCACATTGATTACCAAACCCCCCCTTTTTATGCTCAGAGATTCAATTCAATTTCTTCAAACTACCCCATTCTCAAATCACCATGAAAAAAAAATTCAGCTGAAGAAGAAGAAGAAGGAAGCCTTCTGAAACTTTTTTTTTACTCTCGGAATCAATAATAACAACTTTCAGCTCTGTGACTCACAGCTGCGCCACTTGTCGAGATCAAAAAATTATTCAGCCCTAGAAAAACTATATTTCTCTTGATTTCAATTTGCAGCCATGCACAAAGCATTTGAGGAAGAAAAATTAAAAATTAAAAAATTAGAAAGAGGATGATTTCATTCGCCTAAATTTTCTTCAGAAACCCACAAATTCTTAACGTCGAGATCGAATTTCTCTTTTTTTTTTCCCGAGCTGAAAATCTGATCTCGGGCAATCAAAAAGAAGAGAATTGTGAGGAAGAAAACTTGGTTTATTGAAATCGGAAGAAGAAGAAAAAAAATTAATTAATAGGGTTTTAATTTGAGAAAGGGGATTATGGGATTTGGGGGAAGGGTTGAATTTTTGAGGGTGAGACCCCTAAAACGTGCATACATACATACATACAATACCTTCTGTATATTTTTTTACGTGTTCTTTCTCTGCATTTCTTTTTTGCTTAGCATTCCTTTTTTTCCGGGAAAATGCCACGTCATCAACTGAAAGTCAGTTTGTATCTGAGATGGGGGAAGGCTGATTCGATGATTGAGATGTTTTTTTTATTATTATTTGTTTTTTTTTTCATTTTTTTAATTCTTTACTTTTGTCGTTTTGAATTTTTTTAATTATTAATTTTTGTTTTGTTTGGCAAATAAAGCCAAAATATCTAAAGATGAAACGAGTTAATTGAAAAATAAATGGCAAATAAAGCCAAAATATCTAAAGATGAAACGAGTTAATTGAAAAATAAAATTAAATAAAATTAATTGATCATATAATTCGTTTAATTCATACATGAATTAGTAACTCGTTGCTATGAGATTATTTTATTATTTTAAATTCATTGTTGACAATTGATATTCATACAAGAATATAGAAATCCTCAATTTTTTTTATTTTTCATTTCTCCGAAATAAAATGATATAAAATATTTTAAATAAATTCCGGTGCACCGTGCACTATTAAATCCAACCAAGAAGAAAACTCTTTTTAAATCATTAGCAACTTGTCAACCAACACTTTGTCCCACATCGGAATAATTTAATTAATTAATAATAAATCAATTTCAATCAGCTTATCTATCTGACTACATTTATTTATAATAATTCAGTTGGGAGGTATATTCCTTTTTCAGCCCATTAACCCAATTGAAATCTCTTCTAAAAAAAAAAAACCAATTGAAATCTCTTATGGCCCAATTCATAATTGGACTTTCTCAAATTTACCTTTCATATTTCCCAACCCAAATTTTTCCATATTTCCACATTATTATTATGTCGTATATAAATTAATAACATTGATTAAATAATAGATTCTTCCGATTTTGACTCGGTAAAGTTAGAATCTATTAAATTTTTACCGAGTGTGGAAAGCAATACACCCTGTAATTTTATTTTTTTAATTAACTCTTAAGCCTGGTAATTAGTTCTACTGAAAAGGAATAAATATTGATAAGAAACTAGTGTCAATAGAGTAATTAATAAACACACAGACAATTAGACAACATTAACTAATTCCAATAGTCATTAAATCAAATTAAAAACCTGGACAGACAACTCCAATAATTAACTAATTAATTAATTAATTAATTAATACTCATAATCATCATGAAAGATTGTGTAGCTGCTCCTCCTGGTTCTTGATTCTCTATCAGCCTTAGTTCACCAAGAAACATTATCATTAATTTCCATTAATAATATTAATAATTATATATCATTTAAAAAATAATAATAAATTAATTACCCTGGCAATGAGCCTTTCAAAAGCTTGTGGTCCATTGTCTTGGATATACTTCTCTGCAGCAGTGAGTATATCATCAGGTTTGGTGAACACATCATTTTGCCTGGGGGTGTACCATAGCTTAACCTGTGGGTTCATGTAGAAAGGCCTTACGAAATGCTCGTACACGTACGCTGCTCCGTTGAAATACGGCAATACCAGCCAGCACACGCCTATAAGCTTCGCGTACGACCAAATCGGAAACCTGATTATTAAACATTATTATTATTGGAATATATATTAATTAACTTTCGATCTTTTATCGTACATTATATATAGTCGCGTCATCAAGTGAATATTAATTAATAATATATACCATTCGAGTAGTTTGGCAAATGTGAGTTCGAATAATGTGATGAGAGAGTAAAGAACCCAATACGTGAGCCATTGTTGATCGTCCGCGCTGGATTTAGTCTCGATCGCCTTGATCGAACAATATCTATTAAATAATTAATATTTTTTCAATATATATATATATATTTTTCATTTTGTTCCAAGATGATAAATATCATATATGCAAATTAAAAGGAAACGAAAGAAAATGTGACTTACAGAGGAAAGACAAGAGAAACGAGAGGCCTAATATACGATCGATCGACGTTCAAACATGCATGAAGCCAGATTATTAATTAAGACATCAGCAAAAAGAATTAACGAAAGATTAATCGATGATAATATAATTAACAAGACTTACATTGCAAGAACATCGATGTTTTTTGCCACAACAGTAAAGATATTATCTCCATTAATGCCCATTTCCGAGGTTTTTTGGATTAATTATTTTCTGGCTTGTGTATCAGTACTTAGGCTGGGAGATTATACTGTGGAGTAATTAGTGGCTTTAATTTGTGTAGTAAAAAAAAAAATTAAAAGGTGTGTAATTAATACAATGATTTATGCACGCATGTTTCCCGCTGGCCAAATAAAGTATATAATAAAGTGCATAAAAAGGTGATATTAAGAAGCCTAATTTACGGAGGATTTTGACTTATTGATACAAAGCTTATCACTGGAATTACTATCATTAATTATTATTTATTTGAAAAAAAAAATTGGAGTTTATTATATCACAATTAAGTGTGCACAAGTACTAGAAATTAAAGAAGTACTTAGATATTCGATCTAGAAACGGACAATTAGATTCGATGTTTGTCCACTAGCCGGAAAATTTGATCAATAATTTACAAGTTCCATAATCGAGTGTGTGGATCAATGATGTATGTCGGACGCTGTATTTGGAAAAGTCGAGCGTAATGGTCTGTGAGTGAAGGGCGTTAGCTTATACATATACCCATCATTCATCAACCAAGGGTCCCCCAAAATCGATGTTGAAATCCCGTCGCCAATACGAACCCGGATTCCTTCTTTCAAATGTGCATGCCCCGAACTGATCATATAATACTGCGCCACGTTGCCGATGGGCGCTGGCCAGTTGTCGCATTCCAGGCCAACGGTTTCCCATCTCCATCACCGCACCAAAATCGTCAAGTCGCGGCCTCGGTTCTTTAATCAGTCCAAGGGGGAGTAAAAATGCATAATTTATTACCTCTCTTTATCTATTTTTTTTCCCTTTAGAAATGCAAAAATTAAGGACAATGAGGTCACTTTCCCATATGTTTGTTTTATTCTTAAACCAAGCCAGCTGGTCTTATATTCTTGTTTCCTAATCCACACAGAGAAAGGTTATTATTTCTCTATATTCTCAATAATTAATTAATAGGGTTATTCTAATTATGCTGTTAAATTCAACACAATCTTCAAGATTCTATAGAATTTTCTCAAGTTTGTACTCGTTTTGTGCAAAAATACAGTTTCTAATGCAACACAATTTGATATTTACAAGTCAAGAGACACATATTATGATTATCTTATTTCAAAATCATGTCGAGTTCGAATGGGGTAAAACGGGTACAAAGTAGAGAATATTCCGCATAATCTAGAAAATTCCACTAAATTTGACATCTGCGAACACAGTTTGATATTTACAAGTCAAGAGACACATATTATGATTATCTTGTTTCAAAATCATGACGAGCTCGAATGGGGTAAAACGGGTACAAAGTAGAGAATATTCCACATAATCTAAAAATTTTCACTAAATTTGACACTGCAAGGGTGGACGTGTAAGAAGATTCATAATTAAGGAAAGTGGTTGTAATTACCCAAAGTAAGGGGTTTTTTAGTAATTTAACCTTACCTAAGGGGTTGTCCGTAATTTACACTTAATAAAAAAATATATAAAGAGTAATTTGAGATGCAACTCCTTTTCAATATTTGATAATTAATTTGTTTCAAAGTCTGATTGACATCATCTTTGTTTCCCTGGTGGAAAAATAAAGTTGTAATTAGGATGAATTACATTTGCATCCTCTAAGTTTATGTTTATTTACATCTATACCCCATAGGTTTATAAAACTACACAACCCTACAGGTTTGGTTTAAATTAAAAATTCAATCCAAGTCCAATAAATTATTTTTTATAGCTAATATACCCTTGTATTTATATATACAATGCTTATGAATCTTTTAATAGTACGTTCAGTCTTATTAATCGCACAATAATAAATAATTAAGCAAATTATCAATAATAAATTAAAAAAAAAAAATTAATCCATCAATATTAACTCCTATTTGAAAATTAAATTTGAAGTAGCATAGCATATATATGTAGTGTAGGTCCACCTGAATTATTTGATGTAGTACAAGTACTACTTCTACATGTGGATTTGACTATCTGCACAAACAAAGGACATCCACATATACAGGAATTATCATCACCATGAATTAATATCTACTGTACTCTCTCTCTCTACATATATATATATATATATAAATATAAAATATATATACATATATATAAAATTACAGCTTAGCAAAAGACAGAAGATATATCATATATATAACCTTAATTCTGTTTATATCATGTCCCACCAAAGATGCTCTCTTATGAAAACCAAGAACAAGAAAAGCAATATATATATATGTAATAAAATAAATATGTGTATATTGAAGCTAAGAAACAATGACATTAAATGAACGGTTCAGATTAAATAATAAATACGGGTCAGTAGGACCAATATATGACAGCAGTACCCACCATGCACTGCATGCAGTGTGAGAAAATTGCATTTTAATTTTAATTTAGTTTAATTGAAATGAGAAAGATGAGAAATTATTTAATTAAATGGGTAGTGAATAAATAAAAAAATATATCTGTTTTGGGGTAATATATTTAGGCAGCATAGCAGCAGCTAGGGGCATTGTCTGAAACCCACCTGAGAGCCACCTGATGAAAGGGATTTTACACTGCTCAATTTTATTACCAAACGTGCCCTCCTTTTATTGCATGCTTTAATTTATTATTATTAATTTATTAATATTGCATTTTTCAACTTTTTTTTTTGTTTCTCAAATTGTTTGATCAAACCTTAGTCAAATTTACAGTTACCATTTTTTTTTTGACAGTTTAATTAAAAATTAAATCAAATTTGTCTTTTTTTTGTTAGTGTTACAACAAAAGTTGTTATTGTTTGGTTTGGTTTTTCATCTCATTTTTATTCTTTTCCGGAAATGAATTTATGTTTGTTAAGATTTTCAAAAAACAGATATCGCATAATAATTTCAAAAGTTTATTTCTACTTCGGAAATAATTTGACTGCCAGTAAAAAAATTTGACTGCTACAGTAAAAAAAGAAAACTTCACTAAAACATAAACATACATTAAAGTGAATCGTCATATACTAATTTGATGCTAGTTTTATTATTTTGATACTCATTTACTCCAATTACAACCATTAAGTGGATTGTTAAATTTTAAATATAAGTATAAATATATTTCAAATTGATACATGTCGATTCTTGATAGATTATTTGGGTAGTTAATTTTTGATACCTCTTCTTTGCATGATGCATTTTTGCATATCCGAAAGTTGAATATCTAAATAATTACCAATTTGATTCCTTCATTGAAGATAAAAATTTAAAATTTTGAAGCGTCAAAATAGAAGTTTTACTAATGAATTCTCAATTTGATTCCTCCATTAAAATTGCTCTAATAACTTAACGGCAACAAATATGTATGTACATATAGTTATTATTATTGTGTAATTGTCTCAAACATGTATGTGTCTTTGACAATGAAATTTCATACTTCACACTCCAACTATGAAATACGGGAAATTATAGATAATACATCTGGTTTTTTACAATGGATATATGGATTTGAATCGTGTATGTGTATATATGTTTAATGTTTTAAACATACCATTCAAATCCACCAGATATAACATCGAACTCTCAATGAAATACAAAATCCATAATTATGAAGACTGCATTTCGCATGACGAAATTTGAAACGAATGATTTTAAATTCATAGTAACAAATTCGATGGTCTTTTTTGCATAGATGTACTTGGCAATAAGTTGCAAAATTTTCATATAATCTCCTTTTAAGTTAGATTTGAGTCATTCTAGTAGATTTTAAATTCAAATTAATTGTATTGAATAATATATAGTTCTTGAAAATTCCCAGCTCAACCACACGAAATCCTTCAATCAAAAATCAAAATGTAGTCTAAATAAAAACATTTGCTGTCAATAATATTACATAATAGAATAGAATATATAAAAGATCAAACTCGATATTCACGCAATCAAATTGATAAAAATCAGTACTTACTTAGTAATCAAACCCTGATAATAAAACACTGCAACCTAAGCATTCAAATATTATTTAATATAATATTAAATATATATAATATAATATATCCATATTTCAAGAAACTGATGAAATTCGAGAAGGATATACCAATCATATGGAATATGTCAGTGATCATCGCCGCCGCCGCCGCCATTTGAGCCATGGCCTGCCTCCGTTCCTCCACCGCCGCCGCCGCCATGGGTATTACTATACTTGAATGCATTGAGCGCTGCAAGCATTCCCAGATGCCCGTCGATCATTAACCCACCACCACCACCACCGCCTCCGCCGCCGCCACCCCCTCCTAGTTGCTGCCCCGGCAAGAGCGCCATCGGCGCCGGAAGATTCATAAAATGCAGCCCACTATAATTGGCCGCCGCCGCCACGGAACTTCCTCTGTACATGCTAGAATTCCCGATGGAAGGAAAACTCCACAAAGATTGATCGCCGCTCATATTCTGTCCGCCGGGATTCGTCATCATAAGAAACGCCGTGGCCGAACCGTGGCCTTGACTCGCCGGAATATTCCCTGAACCGGACTGCATCATCATATAGTTCCCCATCTGGGTTTGCGTCAGATCTTCCTCAGACGACCGCCGCTTCCGCCGCCCCCCACCCGCCTCCTCTTCATCCTCCTCCTCCTCCTCCGCCGCCGCCGCCGCCGCCACCGCCATCCCAAGGCCTGTATCCCGCAATTCCTGCTTAGCCTGTAACATGGCATTCATATTACCGTTCAGAAAATTCAGCGAATTATTCTCGGACGACAATCCAATTCCGGGAAACAAAACCCTTCTCTGCGCCGACGACGGCGACGAAGAATCCTCAACCGCACTTCTGTCCCACTGATCAGCCCTAAATCTGAACTGCGGCGGCGCCGCCGCAAAGGAACTCTGGCTGAAATAACTGCTATTCCTCAAATGCAACGGAGCCGAGAGTGTCGAACCCGAACTCCTGGCGGATATATTAAGCGAGCTGAAATTCGCCGGGATAGTTCCGGTTCCGGTGGCGGCAATCACCGACGGCTCCGCCTGCTGGAGCAGCCACTCGATGGTTTCGCCGTCGGATTTATGTCCCAGCTCTTTAGTGAGCTGAAAAACCCTAGCGGCGCAGGTGGCCGGCATCCGAATCCGGCGTCCGCGGCCGTCGACCTTAGTATGCCTGTCCTTGGTGGTGGTTCTCTTGGGCGGCGCCGCCTTCTTGCTACCCGCAGGCTGATCTAATTGTTGTACTGGGTGATGATCAGTAGTAGTAGCGGCGACGGCCAGAATATTTGAAGCAGCGGTGGGATTATTATTATTATTACTAATATAGGGTTCTTGATTTTGATGTTGATGATGATGATGATGGTGATGATGATGATCTGATGTACTACTTTTCTCCAACAGTTGCAGAGGGAAATTAGGCTTGTGTTGCATACCATTTCCATGGCCGCCGCCGCCATCCATCATATTATTCATCTATATATATATGTATATATTATTAATATATATAGAAGCTATATAGAAGATCTTATGGGGCTATATATATATATATACATATATCTGTATACCTTCACTTTCAGTCACTAATTGTGGGACTAGCTTCATATACATAGATCTCTCTCTCTCTCTCTCTCTCTCTCTCTCTCTCTCTAGCTTTTCTTTAATGGGGTTTTTGTTTCTCTCTCTTTCTTGTTGCTGTTTATGTATGGGTTTTTGGTCGTCTCTCTCTCTCACACAGTAACACACACACAGCAGCCAGCAAAACCCTTTGAGATGGGAGCTGGCGGAGAGATTATTATTATTATTATTATTATTTTTAGGAGAGAGAGAGAGTAGAGAGAGAAAGAGAAAAGTAGATAAGGGAAGAAGCTGTGATTGAGTGCAAAAGCTTTAAGCAACAAACACAATGAGTGGAAATTATATGAGTGGTGGGCTAGGGTTAAATTCACCAATCTTTCTTTTTCATTATTAAAAAACTATTTTATTTTATACATATATATAATATCCTACTTTTTTCATGAGGTATCAATTATCAAAAGTACCTAATCTAATGTTTCGTCTATTTCAAAATAACTACTCCCTACCTCCTTTGCATCATGGTAAAAAAAAGGTAATTAATGCAACGTGGATAGTTAATTATTTAGTCTATGGATTTATGTTAATCATATTTTTTAGTACTTACTCCTCAATTATAATTCAAAAACGAACCCCTTCAAACTCATTTTAATGTGATGCCGAAATTTACAGTCTAATAATTAGTAATTTTCTAAATAGTGATAGGATGAAACATATGAGAGAGTTAGATGCTACAACTGATTATTTACAACGTACGCGTGAGAATTTCAATCGTAGACCAGATTAAATAACTACCAACTAAACACACAAAACATAAGCGTGTACTGTGGGTCGTTATTATACGTAGAAAATATTCTGGTAAAAGTGATACACATATAGTTTCCAAAAATAAATTACTACTTTCTTAATCTTTCTTATCAACGTACGTACGTCTATCGATCACTAGTAGAAAATTATATTTTACTATGACCATTAACCGTAGCATAAGGTTCCAAATTCGTAGTAAAAAAGACTTTTATGCATGCATTTGCCCCGTAGTATATACGGGTGTGACAAAAACTTTACTACTGTAATTAAATTCTAGCATTTACTACGACTCCAAGATTGTCCCATAATTAAGTTGCTTTTGTTACAGCCTTCCCCGTATACGTATATATATCAATTATCATACATGCAGTAAAAAAATGAATACATAAACTGAATAATTAAAATAAAAAAAGGGTAAATGTAGGATATAAAAATAGAAAAAAATGGTTTGAATTCCAAGTAGTACTTTGATGAAGGGTTTTGAATATGGATTCAGAATCCACGTGCACTCCTCTTTATCATTCAATCTATATACAGACAGTGGAGGAGCTGAACGAACTGGATTGGGCCCCATCCTCTTTACTCTTTTTATTTTATTTTTTTCTTTCTTCTTTTTTTATTTTTCATATTTTATTTATTTATTTTAGATATATATATATATGAAATAATATTCAAGTAATTGGCCACCATCTCATTCATGCAATCATTTGTTTGTTTTAACTCTGTGTTATTATATGCAGCTGAGATTTTAATTTTCCAGGTGGGGTAATTTATTAATTAATTAATTAGCAGTTAATGGCTTTTTTAAAGTTGAAATTATTAATTTGAACTAAATTTGTTTCAATTTTTAGATGAAATTTTAATGATGGTGATTAAGACGATTAATGAGACAATATATATTGTTGTTGAACATGCAGCTTAATCTGTTTTGGCCTGGTAAATGTAGTTAACATGACAGTTAGTCATGATCAACTCACAATTATTATTATAATCATATACTACTTAATTAACCACTTTTTCTCACCAACTTATTTATTTTTGAGTTTTGAGTTTATATACAACCCTAGCTTCTTCATTTTAAATCATTTTCTTTAATTGGCCTCATCAAGATAAACACATATAAATTGGTCATCATCAATAAACCCTTTATATACTTACAAAATAATATTTGATTAAACTCAAAAAAAACGAACTAGGGTCATCGTCTAACCTGTATATTGCTTGGACGAAAACGGGGTCGGGTTGTCGACAATGTCGAAACAAGTGATCAATTATACCATCACTTAATTAGCTTAACTACAAGCAGATCCAAGTTAATGGACACCCACATATAATTATTTAGCTTATCTCTATAAATCTATTTGGAGACATTCATAATTTTTACTTATTAATTCCCCCGTCCCATAATATCTGTCATTTTACAATTTCAATACTGCATTAATTACATATTTTTCAATTTTACACTTACTAACTATTCAACATTACTCCTGCATTAATCAGTACATAAGGTTATTTTCGTCTGACGTTATTTATTTTCCTAAAATCAAGACCCGTTTATTAACATTCTTAAAACTTGCGCAAATATAAAAAATAACAACTAATGAAAAACGAATGAAGTAACTGTCGTACGAATTTAAAAAGTCAAGGAGAAGCATGAATTCAATAACACTAGACTAATTAAACCTAAAAAAATTATTTATTTATTTTTCCCTAATTGATTTGGCTCTTCATTTTTCAACATAGGATTTAATATGTAGTGTTGAATTTGAGAGGGAACATTTATTAGTAAGTAATAGAAAAAAAAAACAAAAAAAAAAAATGATGGGTGAGGAAGATAGATAAGGTGTGGTTGTCGGAGAGATCACGTGCCGTGACTTGGTCCTAATAATATTGAATTGTTTGATAGATGATGATGATGATGAAGATGGCTTACCTTCTCACTAATTCATCTAATCATTCGTTACTCTCTGTCGGAATGTTTTTGGTTGTTTACCTTTCCATTTTCTCAATTATTTATTAATTAATTAATTAATTCTTCCATTTCTAGTTATTTAATTTTTTTTTTTTGTTTTCCATCTGACTCATCATATTTCCAAAATCAACATGACTTTTTATGGTGTGAAACCCTTTTTTCTTCTTTTATGTATATATATTATATACATATATTATATATATTGGTGTGAAATCAACAAAGGGATGCATCTAAAAAAAATGGCTGGTCTCAGAATCGTTATTTTCAGCAAAATTGACCGGCAGATTTGGTCTTCTGATGTAGATGTATGTGTGTGTATTCATCGCCCCGCTATTGACTTTCAAATGTCATTTTAATTTTTTTTTTTCCTTTCAAACATAATAGGAGACAAATCAATATTAATCAAAGAAAAAACAAATAAGAGTAGCTGTAGTTACGGGTGTGAACGAGCCGAGCTCTCGCCTTTTTTAACAGACTCGAACTCGAGTTTATTTTGTCGAGCTCGTCGAATTTATTTTTGGTTCGAGCTAGAGCCCAAACTCATTTGATTTTTTTTTTCCTTAACTAATTTTTTATTATGAAAAATTATTTAGATTATAATAAATAAATAAATAAATTACAAAATAAACAATAAATTGTAATATAATATTTTTTAATATCAATATGTTCTTCTTTATATTATGTCTATAATAATTACTATATTATTATACATTATTTAAATAAAATTTAATATATAAAAATAGAAGAATAAGGCCCACGAGCCAGCTCACGAACTCAAGTTCGAGTTTTTTTCGAGCCAACTCAACGACTCACGAGTCGGCTCAACTTATTTGCCACCCCTAGCTATATAGGACTAACCAACTAATAGGGAAACTACTTTCGTAATTATCAGGCCAATAATTTTTATTTTCATTTTGTACTTTTTGGTCAACTAGAAATAGTTGACGGCAATTTCAGGGCAATAATAATTCTGCAATTGGCAATTAGAAAAAGTGATTATTCCATTGATTTTTTCAAAAATTTCAACCAACCAGGAAGTTTAACTATGGTTACATGGTAGTACCTCAAATATAGTAGATGTGACCTATGTGGTCTACTAATGACAATAAATTAACCATTCATAAACTGATTAAAAATAATAAAAATAAATAAATGAGTAATTATCCTAATTAATTAGCTGAAAACAGTAAATAAATGAGTAATTATCCTAATTAAACAGTATTTAATCAGCAGATGAACCAAAGAGGTTCCAGTCATTAACCTTGAAACTAGTCACAGCACTTGTAAAAACCTGCCTCATTGGCATACATCCACTCTGTTCTGCCGGTACCGCTACCCCTGCTCCAACTGCCGCTGCCGTTTCACTCGCCGCGCTACCAAAATAAAAACCCGTAAAAAATTAAAGAAAACGGAATTAAAACCCGAACAGATTATATAACAAGTAAATTACCGGAATCAATCATGCGACTTACTTTATCAAGATGGGCTCGTACGCAGTGATTAAAACATCGGTAGCGACACCCTTGAGGCGCAGATTAGCCAAGTAAACCTGTATTAAGATCCAAGAAGAGATTAAAACAAACTGGTTGCCTTAAAGTAGAAGAAAAAGGGGCAAGTTTACCTTAACTACGTTCTGCGCATCTCTTCCTTGTCTTCCTTTCGATATGGCCTACAAATGACAGAATAGGAACAATCAATTGCAGAACCACAAATATTGTCTGGTCATATTATTAAATAAATGACACTGACATTCATAAATCAAATCCTACAATATTGTTTCGTCCACTTGCTTACTGTGCAGCATATTATCTTGATTCAGTTTGGACCAAACTCGGGTGAAGGGGTAAATAAATCGTGTCGGAGGCCCTACACTATATCTCCATAATACATATAGGAAGCAAATCAATTGATGTTTTTGAAATGTTTAAACTGTTCGCGGTTTTTATTTATTCTAACGGACTTTGTTTACTCGTAAGGAGGTAGACACTCTGAATCACATTGTACTACGGCAGTTTGTGTTGTATTAATCTTAAACACATTGTAGTACTGCATTTTGCAAGAAAAGCATGCGTAATAGACTGAATACTTTGGAAAAACAAATGGCCGTATTGATATCCCGTCTCTTGCTAGTAAACTAATTACTTCAGAACAACTATTTCCAATGACCTTATAACTAAGAGAGTATAGAAAGAGATGCAAGAAACGATGTCCGGGTTTGAAAGTCAGCGCACAAGATTTACAGTGGAAATGTTTGAAAACATTGCTAACATATAATGTACGCTATCATGCGATAAACGTGTACTAGTTTTGTTATCTATTTTTATATGGGTTTTTATTAAATTTATTTTTATAAATATTTTGTTTTTGGGATGGATGCAGAGTGAGCTAAAAGTTAAGGTATTCTAAACAAAACTAAGTAGCGGGGAAGAAGGTTGTGTACGCACCATTTGTCCAACTGCAGTTGTAATGATAGCAGGAATGCCTCTGAACCGGACTCCGTCAGCCTCGAATACACCAGACTGTTCGAGCACCTGAATTTGTACAACAATTAGAGCATTATTGTCTCATCCACAGAACTCAACTAAGTTCGAGTTTCTCAAAAATAAATTTTCCTAGAAACATGTAAGTAACTGTGTATTTGCTCTTAAATCTTCTTTGTTGTTACTCTAATTTCCATTGTTGTTGTGCGTTGCATTCCGACACATTTTGAGGAACACTAGAGTGGGCCAGGTAAATTGCGATTTGCAATGTGAAACGCATGCGAACAAAAAAAATTAAAATAAAGTAACACTACTGGTTACTTAAATAATCAAAAGATGGTTTGAAAGCAAAGTCGGAGGAATTAATTGTGTGAGAAGTGTGGGCAGGCTGGACATTTTACTTGGGACCAAACTGTCAAATGCTGTATTATTTTGGTAGTGGTCCTAAGAGTTGCAGAATTTATCACGACGAATGAGTTCTGTTTAGACTTTGGACTAAATTCTGTTATTCCATTACAGAAAAAAAAAAAAAAAAACAGAACCTCTGATTCTCTTTAGATTCGGCTTTAATGGGAATTGAGCTTAAAAAGATCTTGGTTCAAGGTTTTACATTCCTACATATTAATTGTCTGAAAAAACCAAGTTGACACAGCAAGAAGTACGAGTCATCTTCTTTACCGTTATCTTTGTATTTTAGTGTAGGTTATTTATCTGTTTATTATGCGACAAGGAGCAAGAGTTCACGACACTAATCTATTGAAACTTTTAATTGTTTTGACACATTTGTTTCATCCGAGTAAAGTTGCCTCGACAGAAAATCTATGCACAACTAAGCAAATATGACTCGCACGTATAACATTACGAGATAGCATCATCAATTATAAAAGAAAAACATTGAATGCGAGCCGGAGAATTTCATATTGTTTAACAGCTTTTTCGACACTTGGCTACGAACATAAACCGAATGTCCGAAAAATCATCAAAAACCATCCCTATAGATTCAGAATCATATACGAAATACCGGAAAGTGCTCCAATTCAGTAAAGGATAAAAGCCCCAAAATTCAACATTAACAAAATAAAAATGGAAAAAGGTGAATTGTGAAATTACCATAGTTCCCTCTGCATCTTGTTCAGTAGCGAGGTCTTGAAGAAACCACGTGGCACTCCCTTGATCCGCCACGTCAGTCTTCAGGTCCAAGAGCTCAATTATCAAGCTCTCGTCGCGCGCAGGATCCACGAACGCCTCCTGCAACACCACCAACACTTCCATCAACAAAAACCAAAAACCAAAAACCAGAAACCGAATAGAAGTAGAGAAATTCAAAGGAAAAATTGAAAAATAAATAAATTCAATTTGTGATTCAAACGGCTCACCTGATGATCGGGTACTTGGCGGACGATGCTTACATCCTACGCATTACAGAAACATTAATTTTTAAACGTTGTTAATCCTCGGTTCGATGATAATAAGACTAGGTAACAAAGACAACAAAAAAAAAAAAGAGAAATTTAAAAACCTCGAAGCGACGGGGAAAGGTGGAGGTGATAGCGCCGCCGAAGAGAGGGCGATGAGTGCAGAAATCTTCAGGCATATTCTACTACTTCGTCTGCAAAATTTAGGAAAATTAAAAAGTATTAATTTATTTATATAGCTCGAGCTCGAGGGGCAAAAAAGGTGGCGTTAGCTTTACGGTGACGCTGGGTCCGGGTTGCAACTGGATCCGACCCGTGATTTGTCAAAATATTAGGGGCGACAATTCGCTCCGGTCCGGTCCGGTTCGGATCGTTTCGACCGGATCCAAAAAAACCAAAAAAAAAAAAATAACGATCCAAAAAAACCAAAAAAAAAAAAAAAAAACAAATTTATCAGAGCCAGGTTTCGATCCTGGGACCTGTGGGTTATGGGCCCACCACGCTTCCGCTGCGCCACTCTGATTTGTTGAAAGAATTGTTACATAATAACTATATTATAAAAACACTGTTCCTGAAGTTTAATTAGGGTCTGCTTTAGGCCAAAATTAGACATGGAGCCCAATTGGTTTTTTATATACTTTTCACTATTGTATTGGGTAATGTTTTAAAAGCCCAAACAAATAGCATAACAGTTACTCGGTGTATTGTTTTTTTTTTTTTTTTTCACAAAATTCTTTTATGTATTAACATTAAAGAGGTCCAATTTTTTTTCCTCATGTATTAAATTTAAGAGGGCCATTTACATAACTATAATCTACATTTTATTTCAATCTTAAAACATGGAAAGCTATTTTCTTTTTCTTTTTCTAAAGTTATGTAATTAAAATATAGATTACAATTAAAAAATGTAATTATTTCAAAAATTATCTGTGTATAGACTTGTAGTTTATATTTACTAGATGCAATTTATAAATTCGTCTTCAATCCTAGTTTTGTTTTCTAGTTACAAATTCATATGTTCGACTCACATGACAACAGTACCGTGCGGCTAAAAACTCCATTTTTATTACATCATTAATTAATATATAGTGTAAGAATCACACACAATCGATCTGCAAAACACAAAATTCAACACTAAAAAAATGACTTTCTTCCTTTCTACATTCTTCTTCATCTTCTCCGTAGTTTCGGGCCTTTCGGAAATCTCCACAAATTCCACTCTTCTCTCTCTAAGGTGCATTAATCCATCTCCTTCTAATATTGCTCCTCATCACAACATTAATCCAATCGAAACCCTTCTCGATAACCTCACCTCGGTAGCACCAAAATCCCGCTTCACAACCTTAACCGTCACTTTCGGGAACGAACGCTATTCGGGCCTCATGCAATGCCGGCCCGGGCTCGGCCCGAAAGCCTGCACCCTCTGCGCGAAGAAAGCCCACGACACAATCTCAAGCCTTTGCGGAAACTCCAATACCGTTTCATCTTGGTTCGACGGTTGCTACGTACAAATCTCCTTGATGACGGGCTCTTCCGACGACGCTACTAATAACGTATCCAACCATTCTTGTTTGGGCCGGGCCAAGAACCGCGACCCGGCCCGGTTCGAGCCCGCCATGGGAACCCTCTTTCTCAAGCTAAGAGCGGAGGTGAATATCGCCACCCGTTATCGATTCTCTTACGGAGAGATTGCCTACGGTGGTGACGGTAAAATGAATATCTACGGGCTGGTGGAATGTGTGAGGTCTCTTACAACCAATGAATGCAATTCTTGTGTTGAAAAAGCTGTTGAAAAGCTTATGTTTTACTGCGGCGGTGAAAATGGAGGTACGGTGGTTTATGGGTTGTGCCTTGTTCGTTTTGACGGTGAGGAGTTTTATAACCGTGGGGAGGTGAGTGTTTCTTCTGATGGAGGCGGCGGCGCGTGGGGTAATTTTACTGCTTGGGAGGGTGATCACAAAGGTGGTGGGTGCGTGAAAAAGGTGGTGGTGGTGGTGGGATATTGGGGTGGTGGAGCTGGTTGTTTTCTAGTGTTTGTTTTTTTGGCTTGGTTACTGAGAAGGGCAGCTTTGAACAGAGCTAAAGTGGCAGCATTTGATACCTGTAAAATTGGTGAGTGAAAAATGTATTGAATAATGAGGATGAAATTATATTGACTATTAATTAATTTTGGTTTATTATGATATGATAATAAATAATTATCAATTTCTTTTTTATGCTGCAATGATAATCTCTTGTTCAGTGAAAATTATAGTTTTCACCCCTCAAGTTTGTACCAATTCTACATTTGGTCATTCATGTTCATAAAAATTACATTTGGTCCTTCATGTTTCAACAATTTAATATTTTGGTCAGTTCCGTCAATTTTCCGTTAATCAAGCATGTCCCCGTGACTGCCTTAACTGATGAGGGACCAAATATATTTTTTATGAACATGAAGGATCAAATCTGAAATCGTGCAAACTTGATGGATAAAACTATATTCTTCCCTTTTTTTTTTTCCACAATTCACGAGTTTAAAATTAGCACGGTGAGTCTATTCTTCGTTCGCTTTCTCAATCAAATTTCATTACTTAAAGATTGCCAATGAAATGATGGTAAATTCACAAATTGGTTATATGTTGTAAAATACATTGATATATACTACTATAGGGTGGGAAATTGGATTGAAATTTGTAGATTTTTGCCAAAAAACAAATTTACTTTTTACGAAAAGCTAGAAACTAATTATCGGATAGAAACCTTCTTAAAAAATCTAATTTTTCGGATAGGCGAAAACTAGAAATTCCCACTCGTTTCTACCTATAGGCTCTGATTGGTTCAAGGAAAATGACGGTAAAAAAATGAAATTACTAGATAAATTGATTTTCATATTTGGTTGCAAGGTAAAGTGCTATGTAATGTAATTAAGAGGAAAAAATAAAATAAAAATTACACTAAAACTACGAAAATGCATTTTCCTAAAAAATAAATGAGAAAAACGCCATGTAATTCTCTTATTCTCTCTCTCCTCTCTATCCTTTATCCTTTCTCTCTCTCGAAGTCTGGCTTCTCTCTCTCCTCTATATCTCTTCTCTCTTGTCTCTCTCCCTTTTTTCCTTTCCTCTCTCATCTTCCTCTTCTCTCTTACACACATCATAACAATAAATTATTAAATTAGATTCATATTCACAGTATTTTTTTTCTATTTTAAAAATAACGGTTTTTTACGTTTTTACTTTTTACGTCTTTGATAGAAAATTAAATTACTCCATTTAATAATTCATTATTATTTTCACATTTTCTTCCTAGAAACAAACATAAACAAAAATAAATGTTAAAAATTTCAAGAGCGATTTTTTCAAAAATTAATTGGAATGTGAATTCTTCAAAATACAAGCAGACCGGTCCAATTCATTTCAAATAGCTTATTACTAATCATGGACTAGAATAACGGGACCACAAAATTATCCATTCATTTACTTTTCAAAAAAACAAGCCGAAAAAGACACTCTGAATAAATCGTGCGTACAAAAATTAAATCCAATTAAAACTCACACTGCACCTGGTTTTATTACAAGGGGAAAAAATAACACACTAAGAACAGAGATAAGTGTAATGAATAACAATAAGTATCTATAATTGCTTCATCTTTAACTACATTTAAGTAATCATGTTTATTGAAGCAAAAAATTAAGCTTGTAAACTTTTACAGCTTTTTCGACACTTATTTACGAGCAAAAACCAAATGTCTTAAAGATCATGAAAAAAAATCCTTATAGATTCAGAAATAGAAACGAAACGCCGACAAGTACTCCAATTCAGTGAAGTATAATACAAGTCTAATTAAAATCAACATTTAGAAAGAAAAAAAGGGAGAAAAAGTGAATTGTGAATGTACCATAGTTCCCTCGGCATCTTGCTCGTCAGCGAGGTCTTAAAGAAACCACGTGGCATATTCACCTGATCTGCCACGTCAGTCGTCAGGTCAAGCAGCTCAAAAATGTCAAGCTCTCATCGCGCGCACGATACACAAAACAAACACCGAAAAACCAAAAACTAAAAAGTGGTGTCAGCTACTCAGCTTTACGGTGACGCTGGATCGGGGTGGCAGCTGAATCCAACGCGTGATTTGTCAAAAAATATTGAGGTATGGGGAAGCTTGCTAACATAAAACCTGCAATAAGAAAACCTACAAACCAGGAGTTCTAAAATCTACAAACTACAAACCATTTTCATGGAAGAAAATGACCCATTTATTACATTCTTCCATAAACGAAAAGGAAAAGGATTCATTTTTCATACATACTTCCCAAAGAAAATTAAAAAAAAAAAGGAAAAAAGGCTGCTGCTAGTTAGTTCATGAATCGTGGATTTATTTATTACATGCCCTGATCTGATTGGTTAAATACTGCTGCTGACTTGTCCAGTAACATTTTCAGTTTGTTCATTTCTCTTCATCTTTAGCCGATAGACCGGATTTATCACCATCTTTCTTCTTACCCCAGACAAACAAATAAAGCCCCCCAACGATCACGTCTGCACCAATGATCCTATACATGAATGAATATGTCAATTTTACTTTAAATTATTGTAATTAGCATAATATAAGATAAGTATGGCAAAAAAAAAAAAAAAAAAAGATAAGTAGGGTAATATGAAAGAGCTACCGACCGCGACTATGATCATACTCAGAGGGCTGAACGCGGTCACGAAAACCGGCCCTCTTTGCTTCATCACGACCCCTTGTAGAAAGTAGGTAACTCCATAACATAACACTCCCTGCAATTATTCACTCTTAAATGTAACCAGCATGTTGAGGTACTATATAATTATAAAATCATCTCAAAGTTATTAGTTTATTAATAACTAGAAATTTAACTAAATTATTTCATTACTACAAAGTTGAGGACTTCTTTATTTTGTTCATGCAGATTCGAAGTCATGTACACTTATTTTGCCACAGAAAGTGCCAAAAAGTTGATCTTACATTTTAAAAATTAGTGATAATATGGTAAGAATTTGGCTTTGAGGGAATCTTCTGAGGGCGTCATGGATTTGATCTCTGGTTAGGGATAATTTTTGCAGAGTCATATCTTTTGAATTGATTGGAATTTCATGTTGCTGAAGAATTGAGGGATTTTTTTTTATTTTTTTTTTAACAAATAAAAGAATTCTTATTGATTAATTACTCTGGAAACATAGGTGGAAAATAAGGGGTTTCGAATATCAAGATTATAGATTTTTTTAGCAATTTGTAGCAGTTAATTGATAT